AGAGAGAAAGAGAGAAAGAGAGAAAGAGAGAAAGAGAGAAAGAGAGAAAGAGAGAAAGAGAGAAAGAAAGAAAGAGAGAAAGAGAGAAAGAGAGAAAGAAAGAAAGAGAGAAAGAGAGAAAGAAAGAGAAAGAAATCTGGGTGGCACAGTGGCTCATTGGGTAGAGCTGATGCCTCTTGAATCCTGGCCTGGGGACCTTTAGAGTTTGTATGTTCTCTCCGTGCATGCGTGGGTTCTCTCCGGATACTCCGGCTTCCTCCCACAGACCAAAAACATGACTGTTAGGTTAATTGAAAACTCTAAATTGTCCCTAGGTGTGAGTGAGAGAGTGAATGTTGTTTGTCTCTATGTGTGGCCCTGTGATACACTTGCAACCTGTCCAGGGTGWACCCCACCCCTCGCACAGTGACTGCTGGATATGGGCACCAGTGACCACCGTGACCCTGAAAGTAAGAAGTGGGTATAGATAATGGATGGATATAAAAATTTTAATTTATTATCATTTATTTCACAAAAAAAGTTTCTCCTAATTTCAGTATTTATAAACATGTATCTAATATCAYTTGGTTAAATCTTTGACATAGTGGAGATTAAATTCTTGGGGAACGTGTTAGGAGTCATTCGGAAGACTACTGGGTAAAGGCAGAAATGTTCACTCAGAATAATTAGGWATCAGATGCAGCACAGTTATCGCAGTAATCTCTTATCCGTTCAAAAGTACATGCAGTAATTTCTGCGTGAAAGGCTGCGGGTGGAGGAGACGGAGGGAGGAAATGAGAACGAGGTGGGCAAACGTGGAGATGAGGCATCATTGAGACGAGGTGGATTCACTGGAAGAGTCACTTTGGTCTGATCATTGAGGCATCAGGCTCTGTGGGGTTTCACACCTGGACACCTGTTTCACACACTGCAGGTCAGKTCAAGGACTCGGCACAAATACATTCATTGAAGTTTTGCCGCTGTGCGTATTCCGTATAGGTAGGGAATCCTTCACACAAAATGCATGATAATTAGATCTGCTCTCATCAGTTGTCAATTAGCACCGAGGCAGCATGGGAAAAGGTTGTACTGCCTTTCAGAATTGATCTGTGGAAACACATATAGAAATGAGTCATCATTCAGACAAATAAGAATCCCTACCTGCAGCTGTTTTTACTTTTACCGTTTTGTGTTAAAATAAAGATCCAATCTATTGWATCAATCAATGATTGTTGATGGCAAAGAAAATATTACCAGTCTTTTAAAATAGGCCTTGGATTGATGAGTATTTCCAGCTTTTCTTTTCTTTTTAACAACACTCTATCTGAACACTGCCTCACCATGAAGTGTCAATTACAGCTCCATACAGGCTGAATACAATGTCAAAAAAATATGTTTTATATTTGAGAGCCATCATCTCCTCAGTGGATTTCTGTCTCCCCTGCAGAGTTTGTTATGATGCTTTCTGCACGATGACCTCCGATGGAAGAAAATGGAATTGGATTCCCAGTCAACTCACGMCTACGGTCCACATCCTTCTGCTTTAATCTTGTTTCTGTGGCTTTACAATGCAATTGCCGCCTGATTATGAATCAAAACAACTTAGAGACATCTCTTTGTGCCGTCAGGARAAACGTTGAGGCAGAGCAAGTGCAGTGGGTAAAGGGTGAATTACGCAACACCCCACTGAATGGAACAATGCTGCATGGTTGCCCCCGTGTGGCTCAGAGATATACAGATTCAGCAAAAGAGATGCAAGTCATCAAAATTGTATTCTTTTTCTCAGAACTGAAGCCTGAACTTGAAGATTTGCTTTCTCGTCAGCATCTTACTGTGTGWGAGGTCATACTGTATTTTTCACTTTGTGTTTTATTGCTCTGACTGAAGCTGTATATGTAACTTCTCCAACTTTTAATTTTTGTAGACATTGAGGCTACTTTTCTTCAAAATAATACATACTTTGCTTGTTTTCTTCTGTTTAAATATGTGCAGACAACAAAAATAAAACAGTAATATTGAAAAAAGTGCATTTATTATTGCAAATCCATAACTTAAAACATTTTAGCAAAAAAAAAAGCAAAATTTGTCCAAAACTCCATTGTACAAATGATTTCTATTTAACACCATAAACATTTGTTTTTATGCTTTTTTCTGAAAATTTTAAATAAATTTTAATTCTTAGTAGCTCAACTGATAAATATATAAAATAAAACGTGCATGCTATGGCAAAAGGGGGAATTCTAACCAAGACAATGCATTATGTTTTCAAAATCACAATGAAGAATGATGTAAGGCGAACGTAGCTCCTCCCCRCTTAGATGAGACTGCAGGCATCCTCCTTTCTCCTCTAAGCAGACAGCAGCATTTGATGATACTGATTTTTTTCTTTTGACTTTCATAATACTGGGGGAAAAGCGTATTCCTGAAAGTATAAGGATAAATAATCATTTATAATTTTTTTTAATTTATGGAAAAAGATTTAACATAAGGAGAGTCAACAGATGAACACTTTGACTGAAATCATCTTATTTCAACTAAATTTGTGGGTCTGTGGAGATAAAATCTTACTTAATGGAAGATAGGGTTTTGTGTTTAAAGATTACTAAAAGCAAAAGAGAGGAGGACCAACTCTGAGGTGGTCACAGGAAGATGAGTTTGAATAAACAACAATGTGAAAACAAATGAAAGCTCCAAATCACACTCTGAAGAACCTGGAAGATAAGTGAAGGTAAACAAACAAAAGGAGGGAAGAAAATCAGACGATGTGATTCTGTAAACATGTAAGTTCTTAAGTCYATCTGCAGAGGCAGCGATGGAAGTTGTGCGAAAACTTCATAGGAGTAATACGTTCATCATATGTGAACCTTTAGTTGCACTTAGGTTTTTTTCCCCCCGCAATGATTCCTCTAAACCAGACTGGGTGAGAGCCTGAAGCATCCTCGAATCACTTTTAAAGTGCAGCATAAAAGTGTGTTTTCCAATCACCGTTTTGTTTTGGTCTTTCAGCATTTAGGAATTTGTTCCACACACAAGTTTTATGGTCCAAGGAGATGAGCTCCTTTAACCAAGCCTGAAATAAACAACCCAAACATGAGCAAAAACTGACAATCCAAAGAACTGTTCTTTTTTTCCATTCTCAGAATTATTTATGAAGAATTATTTATATTAGGAACGAGAAAATGCAAATGCTTAAATATTTTTTGTAAGAAAAAGTGTCACTGATGGTGTCCCTGAGGTGGTTTGGCCATAGCTCTCAATCTCCAATTTTGTTGTTCTTGTGTTRATTTCAGACAAAAAATATTGCTTTCAGTTGGTAGCAGACAGAAGTTGGTGTGGTGCTGATTAGCCTTTTCCTAAACGTCATTTCAAAGTCCCAGGAGGATGTTTGTGGAGATGGGAAGCTCTAGTTATTGGGGATGTTCTGCAGATATGTGAGAATCTGCTGAATRTTCACCAGGCGGTCTTTGAGGCTGGTCATGGAGAGAACGGAGAGCTGGTACCGAGGGTCGATGGGCAGAACAGCCAGCAGCCACCAGCAGCAAGCTGGACCGTTTGGAGTCGCCTGGAGACAAAAAAAAAGAGAGAGTTTGTCATGAATCTTTATCAAAAATACATGTCGCTGCAAAGWTTACGTCTAAATAACACCCCAGTAAGTTTGTCAGCACATGATTGGCTGGATGTGTAATACAAGCAATGAACACTGAAAATGTGGAATTTAGAGAAGTAAAAACAGAAAAAACAAAATTTGAGGGAAAAAWTTTGGATTTTATATGGCCCTAATAAATCACAAAGTTTGCTCTACAAATATTCAAAATAAGAGTAATTGTTTTTCAATTTAGACCTAAACTGTGCAACCAAACAATGCATAAATTTTGTCATCCCAGCAGGTATGTCAGTATCAGTTATCAGGACATTTATTTAATAAAATTTAACAAAACAGCCCCAAGTGTACATGCAGTCATTAACATTATAACGAGGCTTTTTCACAACAATAATTTAGTTTTGTGTTTTATTCTCTCCTTCGCTGGGATTTATCAGAGCTGGAATCAAATCCAGTCAAACGTGATGCCTCAAACTAATCAGCCACAACAAAATACACAAATAGCAATTTTTTTTAAATCAACTCTAATTCAGCATCAAATTAGCTGCAACATACTGAGCTTTTCCACAGGCTTCTGGCTGTTCCTGAGTCACAACTACTCAGTATGCTTCATAACCAATCACTTAAAGCTACATGACTTCTGATTTAATGAAGCAGTCAACCACACTGGAATGAGTTAACTCAGAAATGATCGTTCACAGTCATCTGCACGAGGACTGCATGACTGCGTCAGAGTTACACAGCTGAAAATAATCCTCGTTTCTCTCAGAGTCTGAGCCAGTTACAAAATGTGCTGAACGTGGACCTGAGGTGAATGACGTTTACTGGGTTTCCTTTCAGCTGCTCAGCTGCTTGCCAAAGAATTTCTGCACTGCACCGTGACGAAAGGTTGGTAAATTACACGGCTGCATTAAAACTCTCTGACTCTCTGCACACGTAGAGTTGGGGATTCTTTACATGACTACGGCGTGACGCAACACGACCTGTGAGATAACTCATGAAGCACCCATTAAGCTCTTTAGCCCACATTGTCAATAGACTCAGCGGCAGCTCTCCTAAGAATGGAGCTGTAATCCCTCGGAGTGCTCCGGGCTCAGTTCGAGTCAGAGATGAACACACAGAAAAGCTGCATTCCTCAAACCTCTGAGGCGACTGAATCTGTGTCAGTGGGAGTTTCCCAACGGGCAACGTGTCAAGGAGCCATTTAATTTAGGACCAAAAGTGTTTGGTGAATGTCTTGCCTCATCAGTCCAAGTACTGAAGGCTTCAGAGTACCTGCATGTTTCTTCCAGATACCAGTTGTGATTAAAAATAAAAGTAAAAACGCAACTTAATAACTTGACTACAGACTTTTTCCAACTAAGTGACTAATTCTGATGACATAAAGTATTAGAAGTAACAGCTAGCCTTTGGGGAAAAGAAAACAAAAAGTAAACTTTGAGTCAATTAGTCACAACTGAATATTCATATTTTTTTATGTTTCAAACATGGATCTTTAAACTTTAATTTTCCACCAATATAGAAAAAACTCCCTTGGGCTTACTTTAAATGGCAGTTCAGCGATTAAACTTTAAAGCAAGTTCTACAAAAAATAATTATATTTTTTAAACTTAATGTTTATTGTTTTTGTTTGTTTTAACTTGAAAAACACCAATACTTCTCAACATTTTATTYRAGTTCTTTTTATGTCTTCATGTCCCAAACTATAATTTTGGAGTATGTGGTCAGTTGACACCACTGAAATGTTTGGGATTTTTTTAAGCTTKGTCTATTTTGCAGTTTAGAATAAATTTTAGGTTTTAAGAAATGTACAGGAGTGGATCTTTTGACTGGAAAGGTTGCATATCCCTGTGTGTGTATGAAAGTAATTTTATTTTTTCACATTTCTAAAGAAATACGTTCAGATATAATATTATAAATCAGTAGGATTTGTGGTGCTGAACACTATTATTTAGGCCCCTAAATCTGGGTGGTGAACTCCTTCAGCTGACTTTACCTGAATGTCAGCTTCACGCTCTGGCATTGGTCCGAAGTGCTGCAGAATCTGGTTGTGGAAATGGATCTTCAGGTTTTGGAACCAGACTTGGGCCTGTTCATACACTGCATCGTGCAGTTCTTGTAGCTTGTCTAGTGCTTCTCTGTCTTCCACCTGGTAGGTAAATGATCAGTCAGTTGATTTATTTGTCCTTAATGGCTAAAAGGATGTTGTAAAACAACAAACAGAATTGCTGCTACTGTAGCTCTTACTCTGCTGTCCTCCAAGTGCTCAATATCTGCAGTATTGTAACCATCCTTCATTCCTTTGGACAAGACCCGAAAGCGTTTTCCTCCGACGGTATCCACCACAGATCGTCCATCGGGGAGGAAATGTACGCTCCTGATGATCAGCATGCAGCCATAATCTGCAAACCTGCAAACGTGGATCAGGTTGTTGCTTTTATTAGCAGAAACGCAACGAAAACTGTAGACAAACGGTTCACAGCCAGTGGTGAAAAAAACTCCTCTGTGTGCTTCTCACCCTTTCTGAGAATCATGAATACACATCCCAAACTGATGCGTGCCTGTGTCCATGCAGCGACGAATCATGAGACGATAGCGTGGCTCAAAGACATGCAGGGGACAAGGCACAGTGGGGTAAGCCATGGTACACACAAAAATAGGCACATTCTTTGTCAGGCTGCAAAGAGAAAAGTAAAAAGAGGTTGCCCATTTAGACCTTTAAATCCTTAGTAAATCTTCTGCATACAGTATTTTAAATAAAAGTGGAAGTGAAGGACAGAGAGACTACTTACTCAGAAAGCTCCCTGTTCTCCTCCAGATGAGTTTTAGTCCTCTCTTCATATTCGCGACTCAAGTGCTGTTTGATCAGCGTGTCCAAGACGGTGGTCACCATGTACTTCCTGCAGGCCAGATACTGCAGACAGCAGGATAAACATTACAAAGTAAAGTAGAAACCGATCTGGAAATAAGTGGACTTTATGGTCACTTTTCTTACCTCTTTCAGGCTCTCTTTGCAGAGGGGACACTGGGGAGTGTGGTCCAAGCAACGCTCCAAGCAGTTTTTACAGAAAGTGTGGCCACAGGGTGTAGTCACAGGCTCATAAAACAATCTGTATTGGTCAGTGAGACGTAATCATCAGCTTGCTGCTCAGGTTGGCTTCACTGGGTTGTTCAGTCAGATTTACAGGTACAGTGCAGAGCTGCCAGTATGTCCTTGGGGCCAAAACAGGACGTCCTTACCTCATGCACAGGGAACACTCCAGGTCACTGGGGTCCAACAGATCCTCAGGAACATGTCTGCAGGATTTTGCTTTGGTGGTTTGGTGCTTGGAGCCTTTTGCCACACCTAGTCATTCAAAAGAAAAAAGAAGCACCTTCATTATTAAAACATGTTATTGAAAGATGTGACATCAAAGACAGAAAGTCTTGAGAACTCGCCTTGTTTTTTATGTTTGCTACTTCCACTGTCCACAACGCAAGCTTCCATGTCTGACACGGACAGCTTCCTCTTCAGCAGACTTCCCTTGTCCTGGTCGCCCAGTTGAGGAGCCGAGAAAACTCGCTTTAGCCCCTCTTCACTGCTGCTAGAGCAGTGCACTCGTAGCGACTGGGCTCGACTTAGACCGGGGCGCTCTGAGCTTTCACACCATTTCTGGATAGTGACGCAAGGAGATGATAGTATTTTATTAAGGCACTGCACTGGATTAATCCAATTTAAAAAAACAAGCAACAACAGCATCATTATTTGCAGTGCAGATACCTCCTGGATGTCTGCATCGTGTGCAGAAGAGGCACAAACTTGGTGTTGTTTCTGAACTGGGCTCTCTGGCTGAACTGCATCGTCTTCCACAAGAGTTTTAGCTCGTAAGTGCGGCAACAGGTTCTGCGTGGTCTCCCTCAGACCAACTTTAACGTTCTCATCAACCGGAGAGAGCAGGTCGCACAAGATCTGTAAAAATAATCAACTTGTTATACTGGAGGTTATGATCAAACAAAGCAAATGACAACCCTGGTAAGCAGGAGTCACACAGCATTTAGCAAATTAGTCTAGTATAGACATCATTAAAAATTAATTCTAAAATCACAAGATTCATAAAGGTTAACACAACAAACTGCATCTTTTCACTAAAGCCGTGTTGAGAGGTTCAAATGAGTTTAAGTTGCTGAACTTGATATTTCAGCTCATTTCTAATTAAATAGTCAGCATCATTCTGCTACTCTGCTTTCTGTCAGAGATAGTTTTAAACATAAAGGTGTATTACTACCATTATTTTGTTTTATGCTTCATTTTGGTGTCAAGTAGAGATGCAAGTTAGGGATGCAAATCTTACTGATTAACTAATGATTAAGTGACAAGCTGACATTTTCTTAAAAACCTGAGTTTTCTCTTAAATCAACCGGGTCTTTCCATAACATGAAGTGTTAATCTTCTATAATATGCTGACTTAAAAAAATGAAGCAGATCAATATTTTTTAACAATTTATTTTGCCCCCTGTATTAAATTCTGACTGAATGAACAAAAATATGTGGATTTCTCGCACATTATTTAACTTGGACATTTTTATAAAACACAACAAAACATAAATCTATTAGGCTGCTGAACGGAAGAAAACAGATGAAAAGAACAAACTGAAAACACATTTGCAACAATCAATTTTCAATAAACCTAATCAATGTCATACATTTCTTCATATTTCAGAGCCTGTGTAGAGACCCTAAAACATGCAGACAAATTGCYCTCATCACATTCTGAAAGTCCACAAAAGAAGGATTGTTTTGTGTTGTTGTTGTTGTTTAATGCATGAGTCAAATGTGTGTCACTTATGTAACTACAATGCTGTCTGTGTTCTGTCATTAAGTGATACAAATGTCATTAAAGACGGAGTCACAGGACCTGACCCACTAACATCTTATGTAAAGCCATGATAGATGATCAAAGAGTGATAGAAACTGGTTTGGATGTTTTAACAGAACAAATCAAACATTTGGAAATGGATTCAGAATAATAAGTAAGTTCCTGTAAGAGCCTAAAACAAACCCTTTATAAAACATGAAAAAAATTAAAAAAATTTATGTTTTGCAAAAAATTGAAGTTACTTTACAGACAGGTGTTTTATTTCTAAAAAACACAAACAAACAACAGAACATAAACATAACTGGACATTTTTCTTGTTTTATTAGAAGTGGTTTCCTTTCAATCTTTATTTTCTGACTTTAATTCGCTCAGTAATGGTTCGACCAAACAGAGCTTTTGGCTCCATGGGTCAGACATTTTTGTCACCTCATTATCAGTTTGGAGCAAAATGTAATAAACATTGTTATTCCTGCCAACACAGCATCCACACAGTCATTAGCTGGGGATAATCATTTTTTGTCAAACGGTTCTAAAAACAATTCTCCACAGAAGGTTTACAAAGTTTGTTGCAGCACAGAAATAATACAACATAAATGGGATTTGATTCTAGTTGGGATCTTCAGTAATTGTATTTTCTGCTTGGAAACTGGGTCAGTCGTGTGTTATAAGGAGTTTCTTCCATCAGGATGRGTTTAAAGTTAAAGTTTTGTAGTTCACTTTAAGCAGAATCTACTTATTGGCCATGAAGTTAGTGTTGTATAACAACTAAAGCTGAAAGGTTAGGAGTGCAAGTGCCTCTTCCTGGCTGCTCAAAGATGACTCATGTAACTTGACTTCTTGAAGAGTTGATGTGTAAATGTTAAGAAGCCTCCTTTGACCTGCAGTACACTGGCTGACTCCTTTAGCCTGCAACTAAAAACTCTGTGACTTAAACGTAAGTGGTCATCTTCAGCAGAACAACATTCTTTRCCACAWAACCTGAAATCAAAAATAAAAAAACTCTCTAACCCTTTCCATTTGTCTTTTAGCACCAGGGAAGTCTTCATCAACAGTCAAACAGTGGAGGAAGACTTGAAGGGACTCGTCCACCCGACCCATTTCATGCAGAACTGTCGCTTTCCTGAATAGAGTCTGAAACAGAGACACACAAAATCCACTTTTACTGTGCTAGTCACATAAGAAACACACAAAAAACCTCACTAATAAATGCATCATTTTAAAAACACATTTRCCTCCTAATTTAGTGAAGATTAGCTCAGAGCATAGCTACACAAATTAAAAGAGAATAGATGACTTCAAACTCATCCTGTTCTGTGTTTTGCTGATTCGGGCACATTGAGTTTTTAAAAGTGATGCAAATTTTTTTTATTTCTAATTTTTTTCCAGAGTTATCAGTGGGTGACCTACTTCAGCAGAACAGCTGGACTTTGAACAAAATTCGATGTCCTCCAAAGCAAGTCTGTACTGTTTCAGAGCTGTGTATGCTTCAGCTCGAGCCAATCGAGCCCCAGTCAAATGTGAATCTGCAATAGAAAAAAAAAACACCAACATTTAAAATGTCTTTCATTTAGTGGAGAGAAACAGTTACGCATAATGCAAACGGTGGTTCATATCAAATATAGCTCAGCTAAAACCTAATAAAAACAACAGCAATAAAGTGTGTTTAGCTTTCCTTTTAATAGGATAGCCTACAGATTCGTTTTTGTTGTTGCACAGTGATTTTATTAACTTTGAATGCTGCAATTATTACATAATCACATCATTACCCAAAATGTTACATTAACTGTGCCAATTGTCTGTAAACAAAGTAAATGTGATAATTATATGCATAAGCCTTAAAAGAGCAGACAAAGATGTTTTTTTTTCTTGTCTGTTGTTCTCAGTTTATGGTTTGGTTAAAAATTCAGATGAACTCCAAACTTTTAGTCAAATAATTAAAACTTTCAAGTCAGCCCGTCCTGCAGACTGACAGATGATTTCATTCCATTCAGATTTACTGAACCTGTTTTCATGGACTCAGGTGTAATTTATCAGCATGCTGCACTCCGTCGATCCCATTGAGATATTCAAGTGAAACACATTAGGGACTAGCTTTTTTAGCACGTGTTTGTCAGATGTCAGCGTAAACAGGGCTAATTTTGACAAGACATGAGAAGGTCAGCAAGGCACTCATAACTAGATGTAAGAGTCTGTCCTGCTCTTAGGTTGRTGACATCAGCGTCGGCTGAAACAGAAACACAGATGGCAGAATCACTCCTACACAAGTATGACTCTGCATGTTCAACCCAGAGCCAGAAGATCGTTTTCATTATCTCTTCCCAGGTCATGATGCACCAGTGAGAGGACTTTAGTAACTTTACTCCCAGAGTTCTTTGTGAGGCGCAATAACAAGTTATGTAAATGRGAATAAATGCACAGTGAAAAAAAAAATCTAAGATCATCTGAAGCGCACTAAGACTGCTGGTCACTAAAAATATTTTCAGCCTTACATAATTAGTTTTTGTCCTCATTCTAACTGTTAATGATTAACATGTGCCTCTGACTTATAAAATAACAATACGTATCAAATTTAATTTAATTTCAATCTAAAAATGATTAATACTTGTTCTTACAAKTTCTTTTATATTGAATTTTACCRTTTTTTAAGTGTTCAGCACTTTGTTGAAAGCGCTTTCTAAATAAAGTTYTTYTTYTTGCTATTATTATTATTATTATTAGCTGAAACTTTTACATGATTAAAAAAAGTCAAGTGTCAGCTAGTTTACAAATCCGTTTTAAAGTCACTGAGGTCATGGTTACACAGTTGTGTGTGTTTAACCAAATACCCTGATAACATCCTGCTGGTGGTGTTTGGGTTCACGGAGGTTAACAAAGAGACTAAATATTCCAGGATATCTTAACACCTGAAGGTCCAATGTTTTATAATCCAGACCTTTTGCCAGACAATAAGCCACTGCCAGCAGCAGTAAAAAAAAAAAGGAGATGTTTTGTACTACAGAACTGGGAGGTTATTAAGTCTGCTATTCAGGACTGGTAAAGCAACAACAAAAATGCATGCACATATTAAGGCTGCACAATATACTGTCAATATATCGTCAGCACAGTATGCATTACTGCAGGCTATCTCAACTGATTGCACTGTTGGAATTTGGAAGTCTTTGTATCATGCAGCCTTAAAACAAACAAAAGCGCAATGTTTTGCACTATCTATTTTAAATTTTATTGCAGACCATATAAGTCATATTATTTATACTCTTGTTAAACATTAACTGTTTAGAGCAAAACAAGACATTTTCAAAAATCACTGAAGCATTCAACAGCTGTTATTATTTCATGGTGCTATCAAATTTCTCTTAACCAATGCTTTCCTCTTACCTCTTCCATACATCATTCTGTTGTTTACAATTAAATAATCATAAAGGTAGTCTGGTTTACTTTTATTACACAAAAAGCCAATTTGATACCCTTCTTTGTGATTACAACACAATAAAAGACCATAACTGGACCCACAAAAGAAATATATGTTCACTTTTTAGTAAAACATTTATGAAACCGTYGTTCATAACAGCTGAAAGAGTTACAAAATACAAAAGGCCTCCTCCCTTTTTCATAAGTTATAAAACTGGCCCTCTGTGTGTCACGACCTGACTTATGCAACTTTCTCTTACTGCGCATGCGCACAATGTTGAATTTCGTAAGCAAGGCCATGCAGACTTTATTGTTGACCAGGAGGAGAGTGGTACAGGCACATTTTATTCATTATATTGGTCAGCAGAGTTTACTGAACCTACATCCTCTGGACCTCTTAACAACACAGGCTGTCACACGAACACATGCTCGGATATTTTACATTTAATAACAGCAGATGTTGTGGCAGCAGACACACCTCTTTTGTCAAAAACACACCAACTCACCTGACCGGAGAACGTCGCTCGCAAGTGACACCGCTTCTTTGTAGCGTTTTCTTTTGCACAACGAGTCCACTTCGCGTGACGCTTTCGACTTTTCCAGCTCGTCGGGAAACAGTTTCTCTAAAAGTCCGCACAGAGTCACGTTGGCTTTCTCCCTCCCGGTAACCGCTTCGCCGCACAGCCGACATTTGGTGACGAACCGTCGACGTAAACACCTTTTGCAGTACGAGTGTCCGCAGCCTACGGTGACGGGTCGGCCCAAGAAGCAGCGGCAGCCGGGGCAGTCGAAGCCTGCGGCGTCCCSGTTCCCCCGGCCCGTGCAGGCATCCGGCCCCGCCGCTTTCCTCTTGAAGTTACGGAGGACGCATTCAACCAAAGTGCTCAGCTGCTCCGGACGCACAGGACCGAAGCGAACAGCCGCGGAAAACCAGTTTATGGCTTCCTTCAGACAGTCTTCYGACGCTAAAGCGTTACCTTTCTGAAGGAGAAGTTCACGGTGGCCCTCTTCCTCCTCCTCTTCTTCAGAAACATTATTGTCCGCGCCGATGAAGAAGGCGCTTCTCTCCTCCGACTGCGGTTTTAGCGACATTGAAATGTTTATGGAATGCTATTTGCATTTATCTTTTTCTTTTCTTCTGCCGGCGTGCTTATACATGACTGGCACTACAGTGAAAGGATTTTCCCCACAAGATACTCCTTCATTACGTAAAAAAAAAAAAACCGATGGTCATGTGACCAGCAGGCTGGTCTCGTGATTGGTCAAATGGTCTCTGTTACAAAACGTGCGCTTGAAAGTTTCATAACTACGGAAAAGACGCAGTGAACTTGACAAACTGCGCCAGGTTTTTTTTTTTTTGTGTACTCATTAACCTTATTTACTGCAACATAACCCGAGGGTTTAATTTAGATCTAAAAGTCACATTGGAACACATTTGTTTTTTTAATGCCTGTCAGAACAAAATATCTAGCGAAGTCATGTAAATGATTTTGTAACACAAGTGGTCTGCACAGTCTTGTCACTTACCACACACACACACACGAATAAAAACATAACACACTGCAACAGATTGTGACTTTAAATTGACCTGCATTAAATCCACATTTCACACATTTTAACRTCTGAAATAAAACTTTTAAAATGTTTTGCAAATGACCGATTGTAGAGGAGAAAAACATCTTTATTGCTAAGTCTATCATACGTTTTAAAGAAAATGTATTCAAGTCCAATCAAGCTGTGTAGATCCAGAGGCAGTGACTCACATTACACTGGAGCACAAATACAGAAGGACTCTGTATTTGTGCTCCAATATGATATCCTCRTTCTGAAGGAGGCTTCGCCTAATTTGGAAAACTAGCAACCAAGGTACTACTGTGGTCCACAGACCTGGGTGATCTGCCTGGTCTATGGCTCTTGGGTTGCAAGGCTGTTTAAAGCACTTTCAATAGGAAGCAGAGATCTCTGCACAGGCTTCAGTTATAATGTGTTCTGATTTCTTAACATACCTGTAAAAAAAACAAGCAGCAACATTTTGAATCAGCTGTCTGTACTGCACATTTTAGGAGGCCTAATAGACCATTATTACAATAGTCTTTCATCGTTTTCTTTACCTGCTATCCTTTCATGGTTATGGGAAGCTGGTGATTATCTTCAGCAGTCATTGAAAGGCAAAGTAGCCATTTATTACCTGGATAAGACTTGAGTCCATCACAGGGACACAGAGACACAAGAGAGAGACAACAAGACAAGCAACCTTTTACACACCTAGGGACAATTTAGAGTTGTCATTTAAACATGTACGTATTTGGTCCGTGGAAGAAAACCTAGGCATGTATGGGGAGAAGATGCAAACTCCACATAGAAAGGGCTAAAGACGATCTTGCAACTTTGTCACTGAGAGCTCTACACTGCTATGACATCCCATTACAACAGCCCAAACTACTAATTACATTAAAAGTCTTTAAATTTTAGAATATTTCTTATACAGTATGATAATGTTGGGATTGTTCTTACTTTTTCACCCTTTAGTGTGAATTTTAGCACATGGTACTGAACTATTATGGGG